AGATCATCACAAGATGGTCCTTTTTAACTTCATTGTTGCAGAAGAAGCAACACCCCGCTTATCCATGCACACATCATTGATGAGGTTATTAGAAAGATCAGCTGTATGTGAGATAACTGGTATGGAGAAATGTGCTTCTGATATGAACAGCCAGGCTCGTGCCAAATTGACAATGAATGGGAAGTGTGGGAATGATCCTAGGGACATGTACAGTAGTACCAGAGGTAGGCATATGCCAAAGTGGGATGGAGCCGGAGATAAAGAGACACTCCAACTTTTAAAAAAAATCTGCTCTGTACTCCATCCAAAATCCTTGTTGGTAGGATAAACTGTGCGGTATGACACTAAAAAGCTGGTTTACCAGACATGGAGCCAAATAGAAAGATACTTTATTTTCATTTCATCTCAGTCAATCTAGCTTTTCAGACTAGATGCGAAATGTCTGTTTTTTCCAGAGCTGTGAACAGAGTTTTTCAAAGCTCAGTGGAAAAGTGTATATGGTCATATATAACTGTATGTGTACGTGTCGTCAAGTGAAAAGGTCTTGGAAAATGATTTCTCAAAAAGAGTGGGAACTCTGCCATTTTAGCCCCATTGAAACTGAAATAGCGCTTTAACACAAACGGATGTAACACACGAATGTGTTCTTGAGAGTCCCGTTTATGAATAAAAAACTACCACCCATCTTGTCAGACTAAAACAGGCACCAGGAGTGCACCAGAGAGGAGAAATAAATCCAGTTCAGGAAATAACTCTGTTAGTTCAGTGTGTTTGCACACATTAAACAGCTGGTGCAGAGCCATATGTACAATTCACTGACAGGAAATGATGTGCTGAAGTTTGAAAGCAAAAATCAAACTCTTGAGTGAGTTTTGCAAAGCTTCATTCAACAACCTGAGATGTTTTGGTCCTCTTGTTTCTTTGGTCTAAAGCATCACAGCTGAGCTAGTATAACACATGAATGTGTTGTTTACTGACTGTGTGTTACCTGAAATAATTTAACCCCTTGATCCCAACTGATGCAATTTGAAGCAGCCCTCCATCATCATACAGACATCAAACACATACTGCTGAAACCAGAGCTTATTCACTTATTTGTGATAGCAGTGTCTTCAGTGGCCCATGAGAACAGACATCCAGAACTTTAGTTAGAACTCACTGAATTAGGTATTCCACATAACTTCAGATGGTGCCCTCAGTATCAAATGTAATCCAGTAATCCTCAGAATGTCTTATCAACAGGGCACTTATTAGAGCCTGAACAATGTGGGGTTTTTATGGAAGCACATGTGACCAAAAAAAAGGATTCTATAAGTCATTGTAATGACAGCCTCAAAATATTGACTTAGCATCTCAGTATAATGACTTAGTTTCTCATCTCTTTTTTTTTTCATCACATTGGCAGAAATGGGCTTCCATAGATTTTAGAGGCCGATATCAATTTTAATACATTTTAAAATTCACACGTTACCAATATGGTAAGTTTTTATGTGAGTTTGAATGAAGACCTTAACCAAGTACCCAAAGATACTCAGGAGGCTGCTTTCTTTACCAAAAACTTTATTAAAGAGTATTAAAGTTAAATATTTTTTACATGTTAAAGAATTGAACATATACTCTGTCAAACATTAACACAAATGAACTTGGTGGTAGCTCTGATGTTGTTGCTGCATGATAAAAGCAGTCTGACTGTTAAGCCTCCGTGCTTTTTGGACTCTCCCACCGTGTACATTAAAGTGCTGTCTTTGTCCACAGAGAGCACTGGGAGAGTTTCCAGAGAAGGAGCTTCAGCTGCAGCAGATGGAGGTCCAGGGTCAAGGGGTTTTGGAGAAGACTTCAGAAGAGGGACAGGTCCACATTCGGCGAGATATAAAGCGCCTCCAAGAGTCCTGGTTGGCCCTGTACAACATGAGTCTCAATCTTCACAGGTACCTGAAAAAATGAGGATAGTGAGTGTTTCTTGGCTTAGTTTGGTGTGCTTAGTGTGTGTAGGGGTGTGAGGGGTATTGTATCGCGATATTATGTTTTGTAATTTGTATTAGTTTTCAAAAACACTTTATACATTTTTATGTATAGACACATATGGGGGTGAATGTGTTTCACGTGTTCATTATACAATGACAGTTTTCCTAAATATATTGCCTTGCTTAAAGTATTGCAATATATCGCAATATATTGAATCATAACCTTGTGATACATATCAGATCGACAGATTCTTGCCAATACACAGCCCCAAGTTTGTGGTGACTACTATTTATTACTACTAATATTACTAAGACTACAATAAAACTCCTACCTCAGTTTCACTGGTAACTCTGACTCCCTGTCTACACCAAGCGCATAGTGGAAGCAGCTCACCAGCAGCAGCAGGTTTAGTCCTCCATCGGTCTCTACGAGTGATGGGCAAGTTGCTTGATAAATGTAATCAGTGATCATGTGTGAAGAAAACAAAACTTCATACAGAAAAGGGGAAACTCAGCAATCCTTAGAAAGGTCAAGTCTCAAAACTCTGGTCTCCCCACACCTGTTCTCACTGTGTCTCCTAATCCGTCCAGCATGCTCCTTTTCAACTAGCACTGGTTTTGTGACTAGTTTTAGCCCACCAGTCATCTAAACCGGGCTAATAGAAAAATGACAATTTGTTGTACATGACCATCTACTTCATGTATATAAAGTAATCTAGTACTTTCTACCCTTTTAGTATTTATTAATTTGCACAATTTGTATTTGTTTGGAATCTACAGAACACTTGAGTCTTATGTAGACATCAAACACCATTGTTGCTTTTTATATATTTTTCTATATACACCTTTCTCATCCACTTGTATGAACATAATTTTGTTCAACTTTGTCGTCCTTGTTTTTGGCTGTATGTCTATTTATTGTTCTGTGTGTAAGGTCAATGAGAGCAACCTAAAGCCAGAGTCGCTGTATGTATACATGTCAAGGAACGTATAAATTGCCAAACTGTTGTTTTTACATAACAGACACATTTTCAGAGACACAGTCGGGGTGTGTGTGGCCCTAGGTGACACTGGGTCCTTCAATCAGTCCCTCCAGGATTTTGAAGGGTTTTTGGGGGAGATTGTTGTGATCTAAAACTCCTAACTTCATGGCAGCTTTACTAAAAAAATTGTAATACCATGTGGTGATGCTTTTAGGCATTTTTTGCAATGAAATTGTGGGAGACGATGAAAATTAGTTGCATTTCTGTTGTATAATTAATTAAAAAAATTGAAGGCAGGTTTAGTGACCTTCGGCTTAAGGTTTTGCTTGGGGGGTGATTGGTGAAAGCCACAAGAATCTACGATTAGTCACGTGTGTAAAAGTCGCTGTGATTGGACAAAATTGCAAGGTTGCGCAGAATTCTTGGGGATTGGTTGAATTTGTGCTAATTGTTGCAATCGCAACAATGCAACTTCCTGGAGGGACAATTAATGTAACCACCAAGAAACTGTGAAAGTATGGTTTCAAACTTAAGTGACTGGTTTGTGGCGCTTGGTTTGACAAAATTAATACCACAAGCTCCAGTTACTTGATGTCTACAAAGCTTTCAGACCCATTTCAAATTGAGATTCTCTTGTCTGTTTCTAAGGTCAAGAATAAACACTGAAGCTCAGTCACTTGAGTGACTTGTTGTGGTAGAAAATATAAATTATAAATGCACACATATAAACAAACTGATCTCAGGTTTATTGCTGCTTGAAGTTTTATGTCAGGAAAAAAGCTGCATAGAGAGAAGATGCATTAGAGGAACGTTGCTCCTCTGTTGTTCAGTAGTCTCTTTTTGTGATGCATTAGACATCCAAGATGCTGAGTTATGAAAACTTCTCTCTTTCTTTCTCTCCCAGGCTGCTGAACAGCTCCACAGAGCAAAAAGACACTGACTTATGGAAAGTCATAGGCCAACAAGAAGTTAGGACAGCAGAGGTGTTTGGAGCCATGGCTACCTCTGGGCCTGGAAGAGGAGGAAGCCTGGAGGGAGAGGCAGGAGAGGGGGTGACGACAGGGCAGGGTGGGCGGCCCCAGGGCCATAGTGAAGGTCACTTCCTTCTGACTGGACAGGACAATGAACATGTCAGCCCATCAAGGACTGATAAGGATGGTAGGCGCTCCTTTAAAGGGGACGAAGTAGGTTCCTCTGCTTTGAGCATTGGCGGGAGAGCCGTCCAGAAAGTTTCCAAAGACTCCACCGCAGATAGAAGCCCCGACAGTGATAAATCAACAGGAAGCCACAGCAGCATCTGGGCCAGAGACAGAGGGGCAACAGCTTTTAGCACAAAAGTCAGCTATGGTGAGGAAGGAAGAATGAGCTCTGAAGAAGGCAGCATGGAGGCAGGGGAAGGCCAGAGCCGAGGAGAAGGAGCATTCATGGTGTTCAGAAGGGACCTAGCCAAGCAAACAACACCAGTGCAACACTCAACGGTATACTGTGTATTCCAAAGTGTTCATATTTCTTGCTCCTTGGTTAACTTTGTAGAGTTGCAAACTATTTTTCAAAGCTATTTTTCTCTGTAAATTTAATAAATAATTAAGTTTACTTTTTAATTATAAACTCAATGATCCTCTACACAGAAACACAGGAGTCTCCTGGGAAATTTAAAGGGGAACTTCGGCAGATTTTTACCCTAGTCTTGATCACTAGAAGTCCCCGAGTACTGTCGATAGGAAAAATAACGACCAGAACTGGTTCTAGCAAACTGTCTGGAGATCCTGCAAGCTAATGGCCAGAGCTCCAGTTAGTTATAATTAACACTTCTTGGGGGGCATCTGCTAAAGAGTGCCTTTTTGCTCCTCTTAACAGACACAAAAGTCATTAAAATTGCTGTGCAACATGATCAGGGCCCTTACGTGCAACAACATGCCTTTTGCCCGCTCGCTTTCACCGAGAGCCCTAGAATAATCGACACGGAGATAATGCCTTCGCGACGAAAAAATTTTTATTTCCCCTCAAAATGTCCATGTCTTCACACACTACTTCTCGATTTGAACACTTCCTGCAACAATTCAATTTCTTCTTCGTGCGTTTTTTACCTCCAACAATTGATAATCCCACGGGACTTTCAGCCGCATACACTTGTTGTAACACGCAGAAGAAGAAGAGAGTGGAGATCGTGAGGTGTTCATAATTTTACTGCCGGAAATCCAAACGAAGAAGAAGAAGTAAGAGGAAAAGGAAGAAGGAGTGTTCACAAGGGAAGAACTTGGAGTAAGAATAACGTAGTTGTTGATCTATGTGGAGAAAAATGTTCGCGTTTTTTCCCAGTGGGGGAGGGATACTGTTCTTTCCTCGATCTCCACTCTCTTCTTCTTCTGTGGTTACCTGATTCAGCTAATAACTCCAGAGGTGTGAGCGCTGAACATGAAACGATCACCGATGGGATATTATCACTCATTTCGGTTGAGAAGAGGAAAAATTTACTGCGGCGCCAGGCCAGTCGAAGCAGGAAAGTATTATTGCAGTGACAGTAGCACAATCGGAGAGTAGTGTGTGAAGACATGGACATTTTTGAGGGGGAAATAAACTTTTTTTCGCCAGCGAAGGCATTATCTCCGTGGTCGATTATTCTGGCTCTCGGTGAAGCGAGCTGTGGAAAAACAGGTTAGGCGGACTTACTGTTTTGTACGGTTTCTGCACAACGTATGAGTTGGAAAAGGCATGTTGTTGTCATCGTAAGCCTGATCATGTTCACAGACATTTATACAATTACATTTGTGTCTGTTAAGGAGGAGCAAAAAGGCACTCTTTAGGAGAATGCCCCAAAGAAGTGTATTTATAACTAACTGGAGCTCTGGCCATTAGCTGCAGAAACTCCAGTTTGCCATAGAACCAATTCTTTG